GGATGTGACTCAGTGGTTAAGCACACAACACTAAACAAAACAAATAAATAAACTGCAACAACATTTGCACCAATAATTACAAATCAACTTTTAGTTGTTTTCTTCTCCTCACACTGGAAACTTCTGTTCAAAATATTACTTCCAAATCGAATCTTCTTTAAAAGTAAATGAAGCATGATTTTGGCACATAGCCTTTTTGTCATCTTCCTCAAATTCTCTATGCTCTATTCAGGTTACTTGTACCCATAAGAAAAATTATCCTTAATATTTTTTAAAGGCATTTTCAAGTCAGCCAAGTGGAGTGGCACATAACTATAATTCCAGAGATTTGGGAAGCAGAGGCGGGGGGGACACAAGTTTGCAGGCAGACACAACAATTTAGCAAGACCCTGAACAACTTACCAAAATTCTATCTCAAAATAAAAAGAAATTTAAAATCTGAGAATGTAGTTCAGTAACAAAGCACCTTGAGTTCAATCCTCAGTACCCCCCTCCCCCAAAAAAAGCATTTTAAATTCAAAATAAAAATCTAATCATAATTTAGGATTAGCTTAGTGTGTGTGCACTTCAAATGATATTTGTCCAAATTTTAGAAGACTCAGTTTTTATCACCTACCATTTATAAATGCCCCTGTTTATACCTGAGTATGAAAGTTGAAAATACTCAGATCCCATATGAAAGCTTTTATTTTACAAGCCTTTGAGTTTTGGTATATTTATTCAATGCCACTAACAAGACATCCTAGAAGATTTTTCTCAACAGCCAATTATAGAAAAATAAAAATTTGCTTCACAAATATAATAGAAATCAGTGTAATTAGTGAAAAGCAATGCCATCTCAAGAATGCCAGCATCTTTAATCCAAAAATGACCTCTTTCCATAAAAGTCCTGTGTTCTAATCCTTCTGCTTACACAAGATAACCAATCACTATCCAATTTCAAAATAACAGATGAATATGAAAAGGGAAAATTAAAATAGACCAAAAAAAGAGAACTTTGTAAGATAAAACCAAAGAGGGAAATAAATGGGCAACACACACACACACACAATACTGGGTACAGTGGTGCTTGCCTATAATCCCAGTGACACAGGAGGCTGAGGCAAGAGGATCTTAAGTTCAATGCCAACCTGGGCAATTTAACAAGACCCAAACTAAAAAAGGAGCTGGGGTAGAGTGCCTGCCGCTGGATTAAACCCCCAGTACTTGGGGAAAAAAATAACAATCCGAGACCCACAAAGATCAGTTACTTCTGATCTTTCAAATAATAATGATAATGAAAGCATCTGTTTCTACGTAGCTCTTGTACTGACTACTTTCAGCATAAACAGGACAGTAAAGTCATTTAAGGTGCACATATATTATTTGCTTTCTTTTAAAAAAATACATTTTTTGATCCATCTATAAAAACAGAACTATAATAAAATGAAAATTTCTTTTCACATTAAATTTTGGAATTACCTGCTGGCAATGTAAATGTTACAAGGTCAGTTAGGAAATAGCAAGCAAAATCCCCCTTTCTCTGATGAAGAGAGGCAGCGACTTCCCTCCGGATTTGTTCTGTCAGTTCAGGACACACCATCGCTGGAATACATTTTGCTGCTTGTTGAGACACCTTAAATACAACAAAACAAACTTTCTTCTGTATCTCATTTATCATAAGTGAAAGAACATAACACAGCATTTAAAAGAAATTAGCAAAATGTCCCAATAATTCAAAGCTATGTTTGTTTTTTTAATCTTATATTGTGTTGGTATTATTTTCTTACCAGTGGAAATACATATCAGTACATCTTTCCAGAAAAACAGCAATACAAGTGTGTTACTCTGATTCAGTAATTCTACTCTTCATATTTATCCCAAGACTCAAAGATGCACATTTTTAAATACATACAAAAGACTATTGTTTATAAAGGTGCATCATAGGAGAGGGAGGGAGAACAGAAAACCTAGATGGACTAGCCATCATTAAAAACATTCGTAAAAATAAGGAATTGCAAATGCTCTTCTTCCATGTATTTTAAGAACCCTGACTTGGAATAAAGAAAACACAACATTTAAAGCATTATTTCCACACTGGCCTTGAAACTCTTCCTTCTCCCCATGTGTTACCACAGAATTTTTTAAAAAAGCATTTGTAATCTAAGTTTAAATCTGGCAGAGGAGCTGTGCACATTGTTGCAGTGAGTACTACTACAGAGGCCTCTAAAGCAAGGAAATACAAGGCTCAGGTGGCTAGAACTTTCTTCCCCTTTTAAAAGGCTCAATAGCCGTCAGGCCCAGTGGCAGAGGCCACTATAATCCCAGTGGCTCTGGAGGCCAAGACCAAAGCCAGCCTCAGCAACTTGGTGAGGCCCTAAACAACTTAGCAAGACCCTATCTCTAAATAAAAAATAAAAAAGAGCAGGGGATGTGGCTCAGTGGTTAAGCCCACCTGGGTTCAATCCCTAGTAGCAAAAAAAAAAAAAAATCTAAATAGCAACAAATGTTGCAAAGATTTCACCTTAGGTTTCAGTTGTATTTGGTATGTAGAGTTCAAAAAACATACATATAGAAAATTTTTAAATCAAAGGTGTCTGTTAGTGAGTAGAAGAGTCTGGTGCCATCCTTGATTGAGACAGTAAGCTCAGGTTTCAGTGACAGCAACGTGTAACATCACCTACCTAACAGTAGCCTTTCAGTTACAAGTAGAGTCTAGAGCAGCAAATCTTGTGGCAAACCACTCCAAGAAGTTTTACTGATGATGTCATCTATGTTTATATGTGGAGAGTTTAACTTCATTTGTAAGTAACAGAGTTTCCAACACCTGCATAGCTATTCATAACTATTTTGAAAGCTCCTACATGAAAATTCAGTCCTATCAGAATGTATTGGCCAGGATTACCAGTAACCAAGAAAATGCAAGTACACTAGACTATGCTGGCTACACTTATCAGTAACTATGAAAATTCCCACATCTTAACTCCATGAATCCAACAGTCAAAAAACACTCAAAATATGAGAAACCAGACAGGCATGGTGGCACACACCAGTAATCCCAGCGGTTCAGGAGACTGAGGCGGGAGGCCTGCAAGTCCAATGCCAGCCTCAGCAACTTAGTGAGGCCCTAAGCAACTCAGCAAGAGTTGCTTTAAATAAAATATTACAAAGGGCTGGGAATATGTCTCAGAGGTTAAGCACCCCTGGGTTTAATAGGAGTACCAAAATTAAATATACATATGTGTGTACACACACACACACACACACACACAAGAAACCAAACATCAAACATTTTCAGACTACAACTCTCATTTCAACACTGCTAAAATGAATACCAAAAGTAAATTCAAAAATAGCTTTTTCCAAGAGGCTATCCCTCAGACTCTTTCAAAAACCAGAAAGACTTTTCCAAAAATAACCTGGACATAACACCAAATGCTCAGACATTTCAAGAAGAATGGCCTCCCAGCATTCCCCTTCACCATCATCCTCAAGCAGGATATGAAGCTGCCTCTCATCTTTTCACCTCTTCAACTTTATGAGACCTTAAGCTAAAAGTTCTTCACTGAGGGTCCAAGAACTTACATGGAAATTTTGTTTTAATTACATTTAAATTATTCATTTTCACTAACTCCTTGCCTAAAATAAAATGCATTCTTATTAATCACAAATTTGGTTTGGTATTTTGAAAACTATGTTCCTGGCCCAATAACTTGAACTTGTAACAGACACATCCCATCAAATACCATGATTCAAGTATTCTTGCAAAACATCATGCTTTGAAAGCACACACTGCTGGGTGAAATGTTGTGCACCTGCATACCAAGGTACCTGGGAGGCTGACAGAGGATTACTTGAACCCACAAGGTCAAGGCCAACCCAAGCATCATAATCACACTTCATTTCAAGGGAAGGAGAAAAAAGAATATACCCTTGAAATTTATACTGTTGAAATCAACTTAGAGTTTAATGTGATTTTTTTTTAAGAGGGAGAAAAATAGCTAAAACATAAGAAATGTTTGGAGAAACATTATATCAAAAACAAAAATTAACACCACAATTAATATAAAAGAACATTTAGGGATGGGGTTGTAGCTCAGCAGTAGAGAGCTTTCCTAGCACATGTGAAGAGTGACAGAGCACTTGCCTAGCACTTGGGAGGCACTATGTTCAAGCCACAGCACCACATAAAAATAAATAAATAAATAAATAAATGTACGTATGTATGTATATTTTTAAAAAGAACATTTAACCAAAATGCCACACTTACCTCTGTAAGCAATATTGCTAGCATATCCTGCCTCTGGAAACGTATGGCTAAGTGTACCAGGGTGTAGCCAACATCAAAGGCAGAAGGGCGATTCAGTAAGCGTACTTCATCTGCAGTAAGCTGGCGTGCGATATCTCCTCCTGATGATTTGTATGCTTCTATGGCAGCTAAATCACCTTCTACGACTCCTAAAACAAGCATCAAGATAGAAAAGCATTTAATCCTATTTTTCGTCAAAAAGCAAAAACCTGTAGAATTCACTCCAAACTCTAAACATTTCTCTGTGCTTCCTGGATCCTGGGGTATCACTTATTGTCCTAAAGAATATAAGAAAAATTAGCATTTCCCTCCCTTTAAAAATTTCTTGCCAGAACTACCTAGTTAGCACTTACCTTACCATCATCAGTGCTGGCTCCATGCTCTGGTAAAGTTTAAAGGAAATGTTAGGATACAGCAACTGGATGAAAAATCAGTAACCTAATGTGAGACACCAGACTTCACAGAACATACTGAGCCCCTGTTCTGGGCCTGCATTCATCCTAACTGTAGAAACCAAGGAGGCAATGAGGTGCTTCCAGTGGATGTTGGGCTGCTGCTGCCCCCTTACACTACATTCTTAAAGCAAAATCCAAAGGGGGGAGGGGAGAACTGAGTTTTCCATACTGCTCTTAATTGTGAAACAACTTAGTGACTGGAACCATTTTCATTGTTATGTGAAAGTTAGCAAAAATTTTAATTTCAAAACCTCAGAATGCTTGTTTCAGCAGTACATATACTAAAATTGGAATGACACAAAGAAGATTAGCATGGCCCCTGTGCAAGGATGACATGCAAAATTGTGAAGCGTTCCATATTTTTCTTAAAGCAGCCTGAATGAGTGGGAGTGGGAAAACATCCCAATTATATATATATGAGCCAAGACATCTATACACCTATTTCAAATTGTTAATTGTTAATAAAGTAAAAATTAAACCAGATGATTTTTGATAAGGTATGTTAAAACATTACAAACAAGTTAGGGACAAGAGAATGAAACAAGTATCACTTTTTCCAAATCCACAGAGAACTTCAAAATTCCCAATGAACCATTTTATTAATCTTAACACAAAAATGTTAAGTAAAAGTGATAACTATATTGACAATAAAAATCAACCCTTTAAAAAGAAATGTCTACATTAGCTTGCAATTTACTAAAAATAAGAGGGGAGGACCCCAAACCCGAGATTATAAAACCAAACAATTTTGTTTCCTAACTTACAGCAGGAAAAATAAATTTGGTGAGTAGAATGATAATACTAGCTGAAAATAGTATGCTTTTTAAAAAGCATTTTGCATTAGGAATTAAGGTAAATAGATATTCCTTACAGGTTGTACCAAACCCCCCCTTAATTTAATTTCCATATCTACTGAAAGAGCACACTGTTCAAGGCAATATGAGAAACACAAAGATAATAAAAACATACCTCCTATATTCAAAAAAGTCCTTTCTAATAACACTTTTGAGTCATAAATGGCCAGCTTCAAAAGTCTGCAAACTCTAGGGTCATGGACCCTTTTAGCAAGTCAATATGCTTTTGCCTCAAAAAGGTCCCCCTGCCCCCTATCCCCAGACATACATTTTTCAAGATAAAGCAGGCGTGGTAGCACACCATCTATAGTCCCAGCACTCTGGAGATCACTTACGCACTGTTTTTTGAGACTCTCCATCTCAAAAAAAAAAAAAAAAAAGCCATAACTATTTCGGGATGTAGCAGGATCATTGCATGTTTTATGGTCTTCAGCTTAAACCTAAAAATATATCTATTTATAAAATTTATTTGTTTACATATGATATTCCATGCTCTCCCAAAAGCAATCCAAGTTTGATCAATTCACCTGACAGAGGAAGATCTGTATATACATATGTATTTATGTGTATGCTACGTATGTGTGATTCTATATTCAAATATATTTATTTCTAAAAGACAAACATGAGAAAATCTAAAGCTAAATACCAAATGACTTCCTTCTTTGGGTGGAAGAAGGAGATCTTCTAAATCACTGTCTTTACTATTCCTGGCTAACTCACCATAAAGGAGAAGTCTAAAAGAATTTCACCTTAGAAATTCTTAAGAATTTATTTCTTTTCTAATGTTTTTGAGGGATTTCTTTTTGGGTGTGTGTGTGTGTGTGTGTGTGTGTGTGTGTGTGTTGCTAGGGACTGAACATGTGAAGCAAGCACTCTACCAACTGAGCTATATCCCCAGCCCTTTTCTGAGGAATTTCTCAAATTAGGGGTGGCAGGAAGATGAAGACTAATCTAAACAGCACACTGAAGTTTACAATCCTATGATTTACAGTATCACCCATTCTCCCTTCAAAGTAAGTACTTCAAAAAAAACAAAAATCTGCAAATGGTGATGAAATGCATGGTATATAAACAATATCTCAGTAACGCTGAGACAGACAGACACACACGCGTGCGCGCGTGCACACACACACAAAATTTCTATCTGGTCTAATCCAAAATAACAAAAATACTCAATTACTCCTTCTCATCCCAAACTCTACATTAAACTGCAGAAAAGCTAACGTGCCCATTCCTTAGCATAGAATATATACAAGAGGATAGAAAATGAGGATAAAACAGAATAGACTCTTCTCCACTCTTCACAGCACAAAATTCTCCACTTTCTAGCACGAACACATGGAAGTATAGACAAAAGATAACTTAAAAAAATATCTTATTGTCTAATGTTTGAGGAATATATGATTCCATTCTTTTCCTTACCCATAATAAGAACTTATGGTTTCAGTGACAGGTGAATTTTCAGCTACAAAGATCAGTAAACTTTTTACAAATTTCATGAGAATGTCACTAACTGCCCAATTTTTGTTATGTCTTTATTATATACTGTTCAAAGAGAACTACTGAAAAGCTTAGGCAATTTCTTCATGATGCTTCACTACAAACATGATGTTTAAAAGAATTCGAACCATATTCAAAGAATTTAAACTGGGAGGGAGGACATCGTAGTATATTCAAAAAAATCTTACAAGATATCGGAGTTCTTCTAAGAAAGTAGAGAAAAGCAGAAGAAATGGTAGGCAGGAAAAGATAGCATATAAAGGTTAAGTGCTAAAATCTCACTTTATAGAACAAAAGCGCGGG